ATCAAAATATTGTTATTGGCTATATAATTATTGTATTAATTGTTTTTATTTCAGCATTTACTTAAGTACCTTCCAGTAAGTGAAGTAACAGTGGCCAAATGAAACCTGCTCTGTCCAGGAACACAAATTTTTGAAAAGAAGGCATTCTAGGAGTTACTAAATTCTCTCTAGATGTGATAAATTTCTGATCTTTTTCAAGACGAATGTTGTGTTCTGAAGCTCACACTGGCCGTTATGAGCATTTAAATTTTAAGTTAAGTGCATATGCAAACCTAAGTATATAAAGAAGATTGTCAAGGAAATATCCAGACAAATAAGAAAATAATATACTGCATATTGGTCAGTCAAGGACTGAGCTGGAGAACCTGAGAACTGCAGGGTGTTACTGACAGCCCCTTGAATCCTCCTTCCTCTGGAAATAAGAAGAACACAATCCAGGGATTGAAATATTTTCTTTGATGGTGACCAGATAGGTCTCTGGAAAGCATTTGGCATATCATCTTCATCTTTCCTACCCTACAGTTGGGTTTAATGGATTTATAAAATTCCAGGTAAAGTATAAAACAAGAAGCATCGCTTTTCTATGAAGAATCAAAACCAAATTATATTTTTGTCTAAATTTAAAATAGGTATAGAAATACAGAAAATTCAAAAATTTAAGAAGATTAAAGCCTAAGGCATTTTAAAAGGCCCAGGCCCTATGTCATCTGAGGAAAGAAAGAAAAATAAGCAATTTGAGTTTAAAATGACTTTAAAATGATGAATTTATGTGCTTTAGCTAGAAGTCAGCATTGATTTGTGTTGCTAGAGGGTATGACTAGTCTTGTGAACTTGTTTATGCAGTAGGTCTTCCAGTAGGTCTTCCAGGCTTTTGTGTTAGGCATTTCTGTATCTCTGCTGAATCAATAATGCAAATGGTGCATGCTCTGGGCTATTTAGGAGGGTTTTTGAAAAAAAGCCTTATTGCTTTTAGTGCTAGTGGTACATTTATTATGCTGAGCCATAAATCTGCTTTGCCTGATGGCTGCAGAACCACCTCCCAGATAACTTTATTCTTAGGCATCAATGACTCATGGTTTGGAGTTCAAGGTGCTACTACTACAATTTCTGGAATAGTTTTCAAGGGTGACATAAATCTTAGTCTCCAATATGAGATGTGTGTTATTAATTGCTATCTACCTCATACAGTCTAGTTTAGAGAAATACTAAAAAGGTATAATATCTAAACTCAGTATGCTGGTAATATTGACAAGGAATAAAGTACAACAAAAGGAAGAAATCTCTGCTAGTATTGATTGATTTCAGTTGATAAAGTTCAATCATTTGCTCAAAATAAATAGGCATATTTGTTGAAGACTTAACTAAATGCTTTAATTTTACCTTCCTTTTACCTTTACACATTAGTGTACACAACATTCTTTTGTTCGTTTGTTTGATTGTTTGTTGGTTTTCTACAAGATTAATGTGCAGTAAGTAAAAAGAATCAGGTGAGGAATCAATTTATAGACACTCTCTTAAGAGTTGTAATAGGCTGCTCTCTACAAAGCTTACCAAAGATTTGAGGAATCAAATAGGTTATCATGGCTAGTTTTACTGGAAGAGAAGAAGATGTCCAGGAGATGTGGAAGGCTACAGCTATTAATATTATCATGCCCTTGACCTATTAAATGTTCAGTGAGCGGAATTTTAGAAAGTTTGTAGGCTTATTTGAGTAATATTCTGTGATTTCTTTTCAGTTATTCTCTAGCATATAAATAATGTTGAGTATCAGAAATTGCAAATGTATAAAAAATAAAAGAGCATTGAGAGCATTGAGAGCATGGCATTTTGCATTGAATTTGAGAACTGAATTTTCAAATGTTCCTGGCATACATGAGCATTTAGAGGACAAATATGTGGAGTGCAAGCAAAGGAGCATTGAAACGATGACACAGGTTTCTATCTGAAACACAGAATTTACTGTGTCTAGAAATGTTATCACCTTTTAAAATCTTCTTTAATGCAGTTGTAAGATTGGTATGGCAACATCTAAAAATGAAAATAAGAATAATTAGACTTCTGACTGTTTAGATATTGGTATTAGTCAAACACTCTAGGAAGCTTAGTCAAGTCAAATCATTTTTTAAAAAAAGTGGAGCAAATTTAGCATGATGTTAATGTTTTTTCACTGATAGATATTACTGAAAGGAAGAAATTAATAGTTAACAGTTATCTATCTCTTTTTTTTGACTTTTCTGATTAATTTACCTAACAGTCATATAGTTATTAGTGATAAAAATGGAAGAATGTCACATATACTTCAAGTGTTCTGCAGACTGATAGTCAGTAAGGCCATGGCTGGTATATTCCTATCCAAAGAGACCAAAAGTAAATTTTTTTGTTTTTGCTAACAGAAATAGCACATACATATGTATGACCAAAATCATCCAAGAGCCTTAAGACTTTGATAAGGGATTTAGCTGTATATAAAATATGTCCATTGATAAGTATATCAAATGGCCATTGATAAGAAAGTATGTGAGACCAAGTCTAAATACAGAATTCCATAACTATATTGAATTTTTTTTTTTTAATTTTTGAGCTACCACTTACACCTGTAAACATAAACCATTTGTGATTTTTTTTTTGGGAACACAAGGGAGAAAATATTTTGAGGAGGGAAAGCAAGGTCAGAGAAGACAGAAAAAAACCCAAAGAACTTCACCTCAAGGTATTGTAGCATTCTCTCCAGTCAGTGATACTAGACCATTTTAACGTTTTGTCAACTCCCAAATGGAATATATCTTAGTATGAACAAACCTCAAGTAATGATTTATTCATGTGCAGGGTATCTTAAGAGCAATGTGTCCAAAAAAAAAAAAATGTCCTGTTTACTCAAGGTTGTTGGCAGGAATAATGTCTATGAGAAACTGCTTCTTTCTTCTCAGCATGCAATAGAACCCTTTGCGCAGAAACTCATGCAGTAAGGGTAAGTTAGCAATAAGCATAATTAACTTCTGTTGTCAAATTTTACATTAAAGAAAAATTTCCAGACTTGTTTCATTTATTCACAGTCTTTTGAGAAACATCACCAGCAGTGTATCTGTAAGACATGTATAGCAAAAGAAGCTAGTTTTTGTTGTATTCATTGCACATGAAACACTCTGACATGGTTAGTGTTTTCACTTCAGTATTTACAGGAGTTATACTCAAGACCAGTTTTCTTTTCCAGTCAGCTGCAAATAAATGCTGGTATCTACCCTACAGTTTTTTGCTAAAGAATGCAATTTTAAAAACAGTGAAAACAAATGCCTGTTCCCTTTGAAAGAAAAACTTCTGATCACTAGGGCTTTAGAATAACTAGACCAGTAATCAAATAAATGAGAGCAATTATCAATTTGATTTTATTTTTTTTTCTTACCACTGTCAAAAATTACACTCTTACTATTCACATTATTAGTGCAGCTAGCTTGGAAATAGTTGGATAAAAACCCCATGTCAGCAGCCCCTGCACCTCTCTGGGTAAGGTATTCTTGAATTCCCAATGATATATCATGATTTTTGGCCAAATTAATCTAGAGCAAAAAAAAAAAAAAAAAAAAAAAAAACCTTAGCAAAATCATCATACACCAAAAAGTTTCTTGGCCCTGTGGCAGAATGAGTTAGCCAGTTTCCTGAGTAAATTAAAACAGTTTCTGTAATCTGGATGAAAACTGTGATTTTCAGGTATATTCTCAGTGACAATAACTTGTTTTTACTTTGTAGTTTATTTATCCTTATGGCGAAAGTGTACAGTAAGACTAAGTCATTGTTCTGCAGATGCTCCTACTTACAGGTCAGCTGATAGAAAATAAGGCCAGCAGAGCTTTGAAGCTTGGGAGTACATCATTCTGCCCATAGACAGAATCAACTGTGTGTAGCTTGTACAGAAGATGTTTGCCTAAACTGTCTTAGTAATATAAACTGTATATTGCATTTGTAATGCTAATAGTCAAGTTTGCTCTTTTGTTGATCTGGGGAGAATTTCCTGCTCAATTCCTCTGGATGGTTTAACTGTTTATTCTATGATCTCTTTATTTGCCTGCCCTGTACAGTGCAATCTTCAGTATTTTTAGGCACAGTATCCTGGTGATCTATTAACCATGCCATGACTGGAGGTGCATCTGAGCTGGCTTTAGACTGATTAGTTTGGGTGCTTTGCTGTTCTCAGTTTCATGATCAACAAAAGTCCTAAACTTTCTTAACTCCAGTAAACCTTAGTTAAACATGTGGCTCTTGAAGGCTCATCCAGGTCATCATACATTACATGTATAGTTTTCTTGTAAGCAAGTCTCTCATTTAACACTTGGGAAAAAAGCAAAAATAGTGGTCAATAATTATAAATTTTATAAAGTTTGAATAGAGATTTCTTGTTAAGAGTCATTATCAATAGAGGAAAGAGTGATGCACCAAGTTGTATTTGCCATTATTTGCTGTTACCATATAAATAAATTGCACTGAATAGATAAAAAAAATACTGATTTCAAATAAAAAGAAGTTTTAAATAAGCTTATTTTCAAATGAAATTTCATTTGCATTTTTTTGGTTTCTAAATTATACTTTAGAGCTATATGTATTATATCCTGGTCATTAGTGACCTAGTTTTTCTACTCTGTACTTTTTTGCCTTTTGCGTATGTGTGTGTCCTCAAGAAAGCAAAAAGATAATAATTTCTACTAAGAATACATATATTTCAAAAGAAAGTGACACTCAGGCTAGCTACATGTTGTTTAACTTGATAAAATTTGCAAGAAAAGCCATAATATGCTTACCTAGCCAGAAGAAAAAAAAATTTAGATTATTTACATTTTTTAATCTGGATAATATTGTCTCTTCCACCTCCACCTTGATTTTTATATTTAAGATCAGAGCTGTAATCATGTTGGCACTCTGCTAAGTATAATAGTTCCTAGACTTAAGATGTCTTTTGTAAATACTCACTAACATGCTGTATCTTGAAATTTTCAGGCAAGATTAGTTTTGTCCGTACACCCTGTGATATTAAAACTTCTACTGAATACAGTGACCTGATCTGTTGTTTCTCCAATGGTGTTGCTGAGTTCCTCTTCCCTCTTGTAATCCTAAAGCCCAGGATTTTAACTTGGTGAGTTTCAGAGCTGTGTTGAAAATTATGCTTTTATCTCACCCAGTCTCCCTACACCGTTGCGTTTAAACAAGGAGGAGCACCTCCTCTATCAGTACTTACATCAACTGCAGCATTAAATGTGTTTCATATGTCCTTTTATCCAGTTATTACACTAATTGTCAACACAGTATTGATATTTATATTGATCTGTGATATTAGAAATTTCAATTCAATTGCCATTACTCTTAATCAAGCTGGTGTTTCAGATATATTGGAAAACTTAGGATGCCTCATGTCGGTGGAGCCTACAGTTTCCTCTGTACCGAGAAATTATATCATTTAAAATGTTCACAGGGTAAGAATAACTTGTATAGAGATTATCATTATTTAAAGTTCTTTACTGTTCAAGTTTTAAAATAAAATACAAAATACAAGTCATATGCATTGATTTTAATTAATATGAAACTGCTTCTAAGCAAGGTTGCATAAGTTCCTAAACTGTAAGCTAAGCCTAGATTCCCCTTTTTCCTCATGCCATGCACAGAGCAAGTGCTGATATATTCCAGGCAAAAATAAACAAAGAAATCCCCAAAGATTCTTTCCAAAAAAAGAGCAAGAAATACCAACTGTAAGCAACTTTTCAGCCAAGAATATATTTTACCTGTCATTTTCTTGAAAATATCAAAATATTTGAAATACAAGCATTTTGACCTCTGTAACATCAGGTAAAACAGATAGCAAATGTTTCTTCTTCCAGAAACTGGCTTTTTTGCATGCAGTAATTTAGAGGAATAGCAGATTCCCTTTGGAAAATAATACCAGTATATCTTATACCTTTGCTTTTCTGCTACTCACCACAAAGAACAAAATATAGACAAGTGCACGCAGCAGCAGTCTGTGTCTTTCCTTCTTACTTTGCTTGCTGTTGCTCTCCTATTAGCTGTAGCTATGCAGTCCTCTAGATACAGTGAGACAGGAGCTGTGCTACCTTGGTAGTGAGTACAGAGGCAGCTTTTGCGCTTGCCGGCTGCCTCACGTTTGTAACACCCTCACTCCTTCCGGGCAGTCATTCCAGCGGGGAATGACACTAGCATTTCTGAGCTGTTCTTGTGCTTTCTCCCAGAACACTCAGGGAAAGCAGACTTCGTGATCTCCATGCTAACTACCAGCCTGCCTGCTGCCAGTTCTCCCTACTTCTGCCAGTGATGACATTCAGCTCGCTCCTCCACGCGGGATACAGCACTGATTCCTCATTATGTAAGGCAGTCTAGGTCAAGTGTAGGAGAGAGACTGCTGGCCTGAGCAAGCTAGTGGATTGCTCCCTCAGCTTCATCTTCATGGGGTCTGGAAGCTGGATCCTCATCTTTGCTACGTCTTCTTGGGTAAATGTTTTTGCATGATTTAAATAGTTATTGTGCTGTTTTTTTCTATGCAGATAACTGTCAGCCATGCTGTGAATTGCAGAGAGAATTTGCTAGGTGAAACTAGCTCTGTCAGCATGATCGAATCATCAGAGTAGTAGTCCTTAGCATACCAGCTTTAAGACACTTTGCAAATAAATAAATTCTAAATTAGGCTTGTTTAACAAACCATTCTAACCATATGGGGATTATTGTTGATTTGACTGATTAAGCTGTGAATGAAACCCATTTGCTTGAAGATGATGCAGGAACGCATTATCAGATAGAGCTATTAGCTCTGAGAGGTTTACTGCAGTTCTTGGCTGTTGCATTGTTTTAGCCTGGCAAATTGCAAATATGCTTCCTTTATTAAACAAAACAAAAGGGGAAAAGTGCTGGTATTTAATTGTCTTGCACTCTTTGATCATTCTTTGAAAGCAGCAATTAAAGCCAGGATTCTGCTTGCTATTTACTGCATGAATGTGTGAATCTATAAGCCTCTGGTACAGAGAAGGTGAATACTGCAGATAAAACTCCGTTCAGTGACTGCTCTGCAGAATGCCAGAACAGCATATGCTAGCTAGATTTGTGTTAGAGGGTGCCTGTTTTTACCAGCTATATAGAACTCAAAGAAATCTATTATGTTTACATCGTGCTGAAAACCAGTTTATGGTAAAACATAGAATGGGTTTGTTTTCAAACAAATTACACATACTGAGGGCTGTCAGATGCTGAGCAGCATCTGATTATACCAGAATGCAGTAGAAGAGGGCCTGGAAAGTAACAGCATAACCCTGATACTGCAGTATCATGTAGGGAATTTCAGCAAGGCTACCGCTATGCCAGGAGCACTTACCATTTAATAACTTTGATTTTGATATGTATATATAATTTATGTGTGTGTGTGTGTGTATATATATGAAATATTAATTTGAAAACTGGTGCATATGTAGAGTACCTTAGACAGTGAATGCCCCCTTCATCTTCCACTTTTCCCTTCCCCTTTCCCACTCCCCTCCAAGTACTATCAAGTCTAATTTATAGGAATTAGCAATTTGTAAAATAATAATAATTTAAGATAGATTATTGAATTGCAGATTATAGGATAAGTTATTGAAAAAAAATGCTTGAAAGAAACTTTGGTTAACATGTATAAACCAGTTACAGTTTATACCTTTCTACCAAGATTTCGGTAAATATGTAAACTCAGAAAAGACAAATGTTGTATTGTGTATTATGTGTCTTTGTTCATAAGTGTCTAAACTGAAAATACAAAGTAGAAAACTATCATCTATTGAATTTACAAAATTCAATTACACGTGAATTACAAAATTCACATGTCTAATGGGTCATTTATCATTCTCAAGAAAAAACTGAGGCCCTTTCTAGAGCCAAAATAAGATTAAATGTATTCCTAAGAACTAATTTTGATGGTAACAGTGGAAGTTCTTTAATTTTTTTTTCTCCCACCACTCACTAATAGTTCTTCACACTTCTGTAGAAATAACAGAAATTATTTTCAACACTTGTTTGTAAGCAAGGTGAATTGTTATATCATTTTCATATAATTTGTAAAAGATTTATTTCTCTGGAAAAGTACTGCCAAGCAGTCACTTGTCTATTTATCATGACCTTGGCTAACCAAGTTACTTCCCTTCCTTTGATGACACTTAGAGATCTATATTGTGATTTAGTAGAAATGCCAGTGGTATCTTTATTATTTATTTTCTGAAGGTAGTTAGATCACATGACTTGGTTTCAGTATCTTGAAAACAGCTCTGTTTTTTTTTTTTTTTTTTTTAACTGCAATGATATTTTAAAGATATCATTTTATAGTTCAAAATATGGAAGTGTTTCCTGAATCACAGTATAGTATGGGAGATTAGAACAAAACTCTTAGGTACCATGCAGTATTTGATGATGTACTTCAGCTTCTTTGCTTCTTGCTGCCTCAAGTGTTCTAAAATAGCTATGCTATTTTATATGAGCACGCTGTGTTCTGTCCCATTTCAACAATGGGAGCTTCAGGTATTTTCTTACTGGCTTAAGGAGTGTTAATAACCTACCTATTAAATTTCAAAAAGCATTGATTTATTTGCTTTAAATGTGGGGTGGAGTTCTGGAAATGATTTCAGCATCATGATATATAGTATGGTGTACTGCTCTGGGCATAACGAGGTGTAGGTGCTTGAACAGGATACAAAGTGGTAAAGTCTGTGTGTCATATACGTATTTTTGTATCCTGCGTTCTGATAGGGGCTGAGAAATTGGATCCAAGCTGTATGTAAGGCAATTTATGAACTTACTATGTTGCAGGGCATTGATCATTAGTGGTCACTGCCTCCTGGTAAATTTTTGTGATTTAATAGAATTGTTCACTCCTTGGCTATGACAGTAGGTTGCTATCAGTATTTTGTATTTTCCCTTACATTACAATATGCAGTTTGAGCTTCTGAGAAACCTTTCTCTGTACTTTCTCACCTAGTTCTACAAATTTCTGTTCTACAAGGGACGTTCTGTACTTGTACTAGTTATACACTACAACTGAGGAGCATGAAAACAGTATGAAACTGTGCAAATTGAACTATTTTAGACTAAATTGTTAAGCATAAGAAAATGATTATACCAATTCTTTAAAATATAAGGAAAGTATAGCTATAAAGATCAAACTTCTACTTTCCATAATGGCAAATTTACCACTCGGATTGTCTCTGCTCATTTTAACTGAGCAGTTGAGATACGTATTGTTATGAAAAACATATGCTTATTAAACCCACATTTAATGTTAGTGATAAATTGAAAAAGAAAGTCTACAAACAGCTGTGTTTTAGTTTATCTCACATAATATCCAAATATATCTGTAATTTTATAATTCACAAACTTTCCAGGTAAGTTTGGGTTCTCAGAAATTCAGAATTTCACTGTCTAGAGCTCACAACTTTCCACAAAACCATTCCAAAAGTCACAAAAATATATTGAATAGGCTATATCTATTTTAGAGTTACCTGTTTAATAGCTGGTGGATATGCTCTGTTCTTTGGCAAACAAAGAGGTAACAAGACAACAAACAAAGAGGTATTCAGAGGTACTCAAAGGATTCTGTTACTTTTCACTGATCCTAACTGGAGATAATAGTTGGTTCCATACTGCTGTATTCCCTGCCATTTTTCCAGGTCTTGGTTTTCCATGATGACATTTTTCAATTCTTGAGTGCTTGTATAACTGTAGCTGCAGGATACTTGGTTCACATAGTTTAGAGAGAAAGAGAAAAGGCCATTTGGATTATCAAGTTCACCTGCTTGTCCATGGAGATCTTGGATTCCTTTGTTAGATGTTACATGGATTACTCCATTATCCATTTTCCACATTTGTTGCAATTCACAGAATTAATTCCTAGAATAACTAGAAAGAGATACATTACAAGAGTTATGGGAGATGTTTTTAATGCATTGTTAAACAATGTTTAACAATGTTTTAATGCATTGATAAACAAAATGTACCTTAGACATTGTACCTTCTGCACAAAGCAGAAGTCATGGCGTATCTCCTGCTGCACAGGGCACGTGCTCTCCCTTGTGCTTTTGGGTGGTTTCTTCAGGCCATGCCCGTCACAAGGATTACTCATACTGCAAACTGCATGGGAGAAACTCTCACTGTATCTGCAGTAAGGAGTGGCCAGGACTTTCCAAAGAAAAGACAACATGTATCATACGCTTGCTTTTATTTGAAAGTTACCACAGTTTACTAGCTATTAGCACTGTCCTGGATGTTTAGAGAGAGGGGGAAAAAAAAGGCACACTGGATTTTGGAAGCAGAGGAAAGGGAAATCATGTTTTCTTTATAAATTTTAGTGTTGGAACAGCCAATATGATTGAGAAATCTATACTTGAACTAGGTGTACTATATCTTGACTTCTTTTTTTCTGCACTTGTGTGCAATGTATAATTTTCAATGATTGAAAATATAAGAATTTAAAAGATTCATCTCTGTGGTGGGGTGTAAGAAGTTGCTATAGTCTTGATAAAGCCTTCCAACCTACTCAAACCTCATATCAGTCATCTTGGTCCGGTTCAAGGAGCCACCAAAAGAGTTTGTTGACAGTCACGAACCCTGTCCATTTTCCAAACACTGGCTGGTGATAGAACTAGACTTGAGCACCTGTTTGTTAGAGAGTGCCCAGTGAAATGGGAGCAACAGTAAATTCAGCTTAAAAAAGAGAACACTTCAATATTTTGTTAACATTCCTTCCTAGGTTCCCTAAAGTCAGTGACTATATTAAGTATGCTAAGCAACATCTCTACTGATGCTTATAGAAGGACATTTTATCTGTACTGAACACTGAATAGGTTCATAATACACTCAAATTCTGATTAAGCTGGTGGGAGATGCAGTATGTTCAGTATTTCCCTTCACAGTATGCTAAGGTCAGTAATACATTCAAGACTAAAATTGAAGGCGCTTGAGGATTCTTAGTTTTTTACTATGCTGTGTTTATTGTTTAAGCTATCTGGCTTCTCGTGTATTGGTTTTTGGTATAGTTTTTAGTTCAGAGTTTCAAAGTGCAACATCTTAAATGAACTATGCCCATAAAATACCAAACAAACTTATACAGTAGCAAAGACCAGAGGAATTAAAATTTCAAGCTGTGAGGTAAGTATTCTGCCTTTTAACCTAGTGACAAATCTGTATTTATGAAAACCTGGCAATTCTATCATTTCCAGAAATGTCATCTTTGAATGACTTGAAGGACTTTTGGGAACAATCAACTGGCATTAGTATCTGAACATCTGTCAAGTCTTCGAAATTTTGAGGGCAATTCCTTGTAACGTGTTATTACCACAACAAAGTAATTTGTCACCTGTAAATACTCCTGAGTATCCTGAAGAACTTTGCAAATGTATGAAAAACTCTCGGGTTTCATAATTAAGCCTGAATAATAATAGACAATTCAA